TTTTACCCTTTTTTCGAAAGGTAATCATCCTTCAGATTTAAATACGCCTGAAAAGAATTAAAGATGATAGTTAATCAAGTAACTTTGAAAATTAAATAAATACTAATTACCAAATAAAATTTCGTCAACTAATTTCATTTGCGCTAACGATTCCCTCTCCCATCGCCCGTCCCAATTGTAGTGTTGCAAAAACTCATCCGTAAACAACTTACGAATCACGTCGTTTAGGCATCCCGACGGCCCCTTCAATTTATAAATATAGGTTGACTAATTCGAATAATAAATAAAGAGCATTAAATATGAACATATATTAGCGTGAAATAAATTACCAGTGCCTGTCTATATTCGGCGTTACTAATTTTTGCTTCCATTTGAATCGAAGTTTCCTTAGAATTGAGATGGAGTAGAGAAGAAATTTCGCGAATGTTTTCGTCCTCAGTTTCTCCGGTCATATAACAAACCGACTGCTGAACCTTTTTCAGCATCACTTTACATTCCCTAATAAGTTGGTTTTGGGCCAACATGTCACTCCGTTCCACAATCTATTAAGATAAAGAGATAACTTTAATAGTTTTAATATTTATCTATTTTAATTATTCGGATATAATGTCATGGACAAAACTTTTTAATCGGAATTTTTAGAAAATTTTCGAGTATGCAGTTTTGTAGCCCTTTCCAATTTAGTAATTGTGCAAGTTCTAAAGGCATAAATTACAGTTTTTGTTAAATTCTTATAAACTTGAAAAAGGCTTGAAACATTTATTTAAGTGGTTTTGGTTAGAGAATGAATAGAATTTTATTTGAAAAAAATTAATTTAAAAAAATTGGACATGCAAAACTTCGGAAAAATTTTAAAAAGTACCGGTGCCTAACACTTTTGTCCATGAGTATAGTATATTTACGTTTGTAGCAAGTATCTTCTCTATGGTCATAATCTTTGTTTCCATTTTACCCATACGTTCCTCCACTGCATTAAGTTTTTGACAAATATTTGTTACCAGTTTAAGCACTTCTGAAATGATATCCATATTTGAAGAATATTTACAATGTTCTTCATGAAAAATCTTGTTCGTTAATTCAATTCGTTAATTAATCTTGCATTTGCATATTTCGGTGCATTTGTAAATTCACAACAATAAAATGCGGTTGGTATGGTGGCAAGTATAAACTATGCAAATGCAATTCCAACTGCAAATCCAATACTATTTCCACAAAATCATGAACAGCTTTAAATAAAAAAATTCATTGTATACCATTTTTCTCAGTGTGTGGTCTTTTAGATGTGGAAGGGCCCTGTGAGTCGTTATATGAGTTGCACGTTTGCCACCTCTTTTGGACAATGCGCTGGTCTGTAAGGAACAAGTACATTAAAGAAGAAACGCTAGTAAATTTCAGTGTTGCCATTTTAGCCGTTTTCCGGCTAGATTTAGCCGGATGCGATAGCAAACAGCCGGAAAAATTTCGATTTAGCCGGCAGCCGATTTGTTAGCCGTTTTGCAGAAAAAAATTAGCCGTTTTTAGCCGATTTTGCTATTTGCCTTGTTTTTTTAAATTTCAAATATGTATATATGTTTCCATTTTTGACCAAGCGACCTAAAATCTGTTAGAAATGGCTACTAGCCTTATCGTGGAGAAAATATTCATGTCAGGCAGGATTGTATGAAATTGGGCCGATTTCGCTTATTTTTATTTTAAACGAAGAAGGGATTTTCTTCATAAAATGTTTGTTATAAATGTCTTAATTTTAAGTGTGAAGTTTTATTCGCAAACTTAGAAAATAAGAAATTGTTTCACTGTTAAGACTCTTTAGATGCGTTTGTGTTTGTAGATTGTGCCAACAAACAGAATAAATATTACATGTGGATATTTTCTTCCCAGATAGCGCATATTCAATTCTGCCTAAATTAAAAAACATAATTTTTGCCCACTCCCAAAGGTTTAAGGTAATGGAAAAATTGATATTTGCAAGCACTATGTACACATATGTATTTTTTTAAACAAATGTTTTTGCTGAGAACTTATTCATATTCCAAAAACAGAATGCCAACTTGAATTAAAGGAACCAACGCTGAAGTGAGTCAAAATGAAAATAAAAGAGCACAAATTTTTATGTAAAGCAAAACTCGCTGGGAATCCTTCGAGACATCTTCCGGCCATATGACCGGTCATCTAAATGGGAGATCTGCAGTCTTTTAGCATCATATTTTACATAAGAATTGAAGGGATTTCTGAAAAATCTGGCCAGTTCTTTTAGTCAACTGTGATTTTGCATCCCTTGTCAACATATGGCCTCGGTTGAAGTTAACTTAAAGTCGTTGTTTTACTGCCTTAAAATTGGAGGGAAATTTTTACAGCGTTTTTATGTGTATTGGTTTCTATTTGAGTGTATTGAGAATCGGTCAGTCTGAAAAGGCCTCGTAGGGAAGATAATAGGATTGTTCGTCGAAAATCCGGCGAGAATTATCACTCAAAATATCAGATAGTAATAGTAATAAATAGTTTTTTTTCCGAGTACCTTTCAAATCATTGGAATTAACTAAATTAATTAAGTAAACAAGTATTAACTTACATTTTTCTTTTAAAATAGCTCCAGTTTGTAAATTTTTAAATTTAACGAACTTGTTTATTCAAATTATCGTCGACAAAAAATCCAACCATGTGCCACAATCATATCTTTTTCCTAATTGCAAATTCTTGCTGGCAAAATTTTTTCCGGCTCGAATTTGTAACTTCTCTCCAAGAAATAGTCTTTTTACTCGTGATTTATTTAAATAAAACATGTGAAATTTAGTTGAAACATTTTAGCCGGTTTTATTTGCCAATTTAGCCGGTTCATCCAAAAAGTTCTGGCAACACTGGTAAATTTATCTCTTACCTTCTCCTTTGGGAGTTGACATCACAGAAGGCTCAAAAATATTATTTACAGAATCCATTATTTGTGTACTATATATGTAGCTTTATTTGTTAAAATTTTTAATATTATATACTTGTATACATTTATATGCAAACGGAATGCGTTATTAATTTGAAAAATCATTAAAAAGGTTATGTAAAAGAGGTATCAGAATAAACTTTGTTTGATGAGGAATACAAAAGGATTTATATATTATATCTTCTTTGTTGACTGAAACACTTTCGGAGCTAATTTCGCTACTTAACAGTACGCCTAGTCCAAGCGAGGATTCAAGTGGGACAGTAAAAAAATTTTCTGTTTTATTAAATACTAAACATGTGTATACTTCAGTGTCAGACTTCTTTTCGGTGGAAATTACCTTTAAGGCTCCTAGTTTTTTACTAAAACAGAAAGAATCCTTTTCTTTTTTTGGGTCTATACTGAATGAGCCTATTTTTGATTCCTTGAACCAATTTAAATTGTCTGCCTGCCTTTCTTTCAGCCTTAAATGTAGCTGCTGCAAAATTTTATTCGGTTTCCTAATTAATTTTTTTTAAATATTGCATATAGTTCTCAAATCGATATGCAGAGCAACTATCGAGTGGGCCATATTGTTTTGCGCAGTGTGATAAATGTAATAGCCCATGAACATTAAAACTGACCAAGTGGTCACCATAAATATTTCCAAAGTAGTGGACGAATTCCTGTAATATGTTCTGGGCAATATCCGCTTCAATTCTGTACGACTTTTCGTTTGTTAGTAGTCGAACCCCACAATGAAGCAGCAAAAAGTGATAATATCGATCACTTTCAACACAGTCTTTTAATACGAAAATCCCAGTATACAGCAAAAATTGCCTAAACTCGGTCGCTTTCCAATTACTAATTTCATTAAAATTTCTGGAAATTCTGCCTAATTCTGTTGGTACAAAATTGCTTAGAAAATTAATTTTCGAATTCATTTCTACAACATTTTCTTTATTTATTAGCAATGGAAGTCACTTCTTCATCACACCTAAATCGACCAGGTGCATCACATCCAGTGGGAACTGGGAAACCATCCCGAATTTAGAAAGCTCTAAAATACTACAATTATTTCTACACTATGATGAGATAAGTCCGCGCGGGAGCTAAACGCTGTGTCTGTTCTTAAATTATGGATCTCTTTAGAAAAACAAACTCTGTTTTGGATATATTTGCCTTGTTGGCAGCATTTTGGACATCCATTTTTGCTATTGAAGTATTGTGTACCTGTTAACAAAAGACCTGGCCGGAGAGTCACATGTGAATACGCGAACATTAAACTTTTTTGGAATGGAGCTTGAGCCAACTTTTAATCCTTCTTCTCTTAAAAAAACGACCTCTTCACAAAATTCTTTTAAAAATTCGTTTACACTTTTTGGCTTACTCATTCCTGAAAAACAAACAATCGTAAATGGGCTCTGCTTTGGAAATCAAACTATCGCTCCAAGTATTGGCCATAAAATTCGGTTTGAACTATCAAACAATTTAAGCCCGTCGATTCCTACATCTATTAATATTTCCGATACTGATTCTAAGAAGCTAAAAGAACTTGATTTAAAATGTGTTTGAATACCTAAATAAACGAATTCACCTCCCGGAATTGATTTTATTTGAACTTTCTCTCCACATGTTCCTAAAAGCGCTTTAGCTGACATAGGTATATCTTTAATACCTATTTTAATCAAGGTTTGCAGCAAATCGCTTAGGGCGTTTTGGGGTATATTATTTCTTATGGCCCAAGCTTTTAGTTCACTACATTTATCACTATTAACTGATCGGGAGTCATTTGTATCATTTACGAATTCTTCTGAAGTGTCACTACTAGTTTCGTCCTGAAAATCTAAACTATTCGCCACTTCATCAGAAACAAGTGGGCGCGTTTCCTCACAATTGATCACAAGAACATGAGGGAGCACTAGAGGAAATGTTTAGCGAGCGTTTGATAAATGAGTATTTCCTGGGAATCATGCCCCAGTAAGTTCCTTTAATAAATTCGTGAATTCTTATTAATATATGCATATACGTCTGTAAGTAAAAAAAGTTTAATTGCTTTAAGATTAATTAAATTGTAAAATTGCTTAGCTTCATTACCCAATTTGCCAAACCACACATATTGACAAGTTTTAACATTAAATTTTTCGTATTAAGTCTTATTTTTTTATAAAAATTTAGTTCATTCTTTTAAAAAAACTAAGTACATATATAAGTCCAATTTAAAATTGTGTGCAATATTTAAAAAAATCAGCAAGCTTTCCTAAAAACATCATAAAAACATCGATGTTTTAATTCGATACATTCAACTTTCAATCGATGTAATTTTTTGAAATATCGATTCTTCAAACATCGATAGTCTCATTATGATTTACATTCCTATTAAAATATTTGATTGAGCTTCTGGTAGTCGCGTCTTGTAGGGATGTGTTTGGAAAATAAAAAAAATGCCCGCCTCTGGTTTAGATGTATATGCATGGTGCCACAGAGCGTATACGTAACATACGCAACTACTATACATAGCGTTGCCAGAAGAGAAATTTCTCCCGTTTTGCGGGAATTTTGAACAAAAAAGGGATGACGGGAATAATGGTCGTGAAAACGGGGAAAATCACATACGCCATTCCCATAAATATTACAATACTATTAGGCTAAAATAGTGGGCGATACATTCATGGGAAAGCTGTATGGAATTTAAAGTTTAGTTACGCGAAGAATCTCGTCCGTCAGCATCCACCTCCAATCAAACTCGAGCATATTACACAATATGACTGCACAGAATTATGGAATACAAGATTGCGCCAATCGAGCTGAGAGCAATTGGCCGTGACGTCAACAAATACCGGAATGAGAGAGCAAGACGAACTCGACAACAAAAAGAGGAAGCATCGAACAAAAGTCAGAATTGCCAAGTTTTTAATTTGAAAAAGCACCAAATTTTTATTGGTGTATTTTATGGACTTTATATGCATACATAATTTTAATGTAAGAATGCCGATTCAAATTAATAGAAATCAATGTTTCTTGCACGGGGGTCGGTTTCGACTGTGATGATTGAAGGTGCTTCCACATATTTTGTTGTCGCTTATGATTGTCACTGTGACATGATTTTGTTTAAATTTTTGTAAAGTTGCTTAGTGTGGTAAGCAATTGCTATAAATTTTGCTTCCATTTTTTTTAAGATTTTCAAATTTGGTGTCTTCAAACTAAAAACAAAAGCACAAAAAACGCACCAAGCACCAGACTCAAAAGTTTTCGCGTTTTGTATACCCACTAAATTTGGTGCGAAGAGCATCAGGTTGACAATAGTGAATGTAAACAAAAGTATTGCATGACGTCCACGATTGGGTGGATGCTGTCAAAACAACGAAACAACAACGGTCCGCGAATGGCGCGACCCATGATTTAATAATACAAGGTTAGATAATTATTGACAGCCGCGATTTGACACTCCCTTACAAAAGGTTGCATTTACGAAGGACGGAGGAAAGGAAAGTACGCAACGTAGGCAATTAGTAGTGAAATTCCTTTTGTAAATTCTAATGTATTTGCAGGAAATCTGGCATTTTAAACGAAATATTGAACGTAATATTACAATATCTACGTGAATTACGTAATTTATATGCTATTTAGCTGTATAAAAACTGCAAAAGGGCTCAAAATTAATATAACACTGCTGCGAGTTGTATGTAAACATCCAATATAAAAAAAGTTTATGTTTTCATCAGTTAAATGTGCTTCATATGTATATACAAATAAACATATTGCACAAATCTTATACTTCTATTTCACACCAAAGCTACACTTTTTCCAAGTAAGCTTGCAAAGAAGCCACACGGTGCCACTGCTAAGGGAGCGGTGCGAGAGAGATAACTGTCAGGTTTATCGAACCTTGTATTATTGAATCATGGGCGCGACCTTTATTTTCTGGATTGGGATGTGCAGTAAGCCTTCTTCCTAAGAAATCTTAATTGCAAAAACATGCAAAAACGCAAAAGCATGTGCAAGAGTATAAGTAAATTCATGATAACTAATCGCAAGCTGAAAATTTCGCAGTTCACCAATGGTTCGGTAGCACATCAAGCTAAAAATGCAGAGATAAAGGTGTGTGCGTTTGCGGCGGAGCACAATAATGTTTTTTCTGCATTTGATCACTTATCAGTGCTGTTGAAAACAGTGTTCAGTGTTTGAAAAATAGCATCATAATCGCACACGAATGATATGTACAAATAACGCATAAGTAGATGCAATATATGTATGTTTTAAAGTAATATTTTTATATTAACAATATTACATGTTAATTGAATTGTTATGGTTATTGACTGAGTTGTTAAAATACGGTTATTGATCGTATAAAAAATAAAACACGGAGAAAAATTGATTTGCCATTTTTAAAAACTAGGTTATATTAAAAAGGAAAAAAAACGGGAAAACTTAAAATGAAAAACGGGAAAAATATATAGAACTGCATGGCCAAAAAGGGAATAGGCTCACCCAAAACCTGGTTTTTAGTACAATTTCGTGTTGGAATCTTGTTCTTTATACCAAAATTAATGCATTTTCTAAGAGAAGAATAGAGGAAGATGGAGGCATTTTCGACCAAGAACGCGTTTTCGTCGAAATATGTAACATCTAGTGAAAGTTGCTCATATGTCTGCCAAGACGCAAAATTGCAAGAGGGTAACACCAAAAAATACAGGAAAGCTTTTTGAACTGGTAATTCGGTTAAATACATTGTGACTTTTGTTTACATATTTGTTTTTTATCATTTGCACCGACGATATGTATGCACATTAAGTTGGTCCAAAAATACATGCGTGGAGAAAAAATTTTAAGCTCTCATGCCCTAGGATTTTTCTATATGCATAAAAATAATACCCGTGTTGTTTTTGTTTGTAAAAAAAAAATATATTTAGAATTGCCTCAAAGCCCATTAAGTTTTCCATATATTTTATATGGAGAAAAACACGTTTTCGTAGAAATGGTATAGAATTATTGAAAATCAATATTTTTCGATCGGAAAACTCTCTTTCTCTTCAGGAGACTCGCAAAATGACGAATGTGGGCTCAATGTAAAGGTAATATAACTCTGCGAAGCAAAAGTAAGAGGAAATAAGATTCCAGTAGATAATAACTAATTTCCAATTTTTTATTGCAAATTTGATCTTATTATCTTAATTTTACATTTTTCTTGTCATCTTTTTTGGCCTGTAACCACTTAAACGACTTACATAATTGATCTGCGTTTAACATAAAGCAAGAAAAGTAATCTGTCGCTCAATAAAAATATGTAGATCTTATCTCGCCATAGCTACATTTTGAGCCAGTCGCGGGTAGCCCTCTCGTCTTCAAAATAATTTTCTATGTACATACATACATAAGAGCACCTGTTCAATTAATTGGACGTGACCTGTGGTCCGTCGTTTTCAAAGTGTTCCAAGTATGAACCACTCCAGTCGTTTGGGCTCAATGTAATCTGGTGGTGTTGATGCTGGTTCCCAAATAAAAGAAATTATAACTGTCAACTGATATAATTTCCGAGGCACAAATTCGCTGACTATTTGCTTGCTAATAGGTGATACTTCACCTTGTCCTTGTTCATCTCTAGACCCAATCGCCCTGCTTCCATATATAACTGGGAAAAGACGGACCAGTATGAATTGTCAGTTAAAATAGTTCTTGCACGTTTTCATACAATTAAAGAATTTGATGCAATCTTTATTTCGCAGAGAAAGAATCTAATATTGAAATAAAATTTGCTTTACGCTCATTTCATATCCGACCTAATTCTCTGTCCAAAAAATCTATGAATGGTTTCACATGCTGATATGCAGATATCGGAGGAGTTGATACTGTTGCCGAGCATAGTCTTCCTTTACCGATTTTGGGGTTTATTTCTATAACAATTCATTCGTTTACTTATTTGCCAATACTATCATTTTAAAGATAACATCTGTGGTATTTATTTTACTTTTAGCAAAATGCATTCGGTGGGAATCCATTCGGCGATGGCAATAAAACGTCAACGAAAACGACGTGATGAACAGAAACGTGCGCGAGAAAGACGCTACAGTACGCAGAGTTCGGAGAGTGCTGAAACGTTCCATTCACCAAGTGGTTCATTTCGCCGTAAGTTTCACCATGCACATAGCGTTGCTAAACCTGGACCAGGCATGCTTGATAGTCAGGTAAATGATACAAATTACCATAATACATAGAAACATATGTATCAGCAGCAGCTGAATTCAGCGTTTATTTGATTACAGGTTGTCACAAGCATCGGAATGCTTCACATTGGTATTGTATTCATAGTATTTGGAGTATTCTTATGCGGTGCTGGCATTATACCCGACGAAACAATGTCTTGGAATGTGTTCAGTAAGTATGAGCTGTTTTGGTTTTCAATTTGGCTGCTATCAATATCAAGCGCACGTCTTCTTTTGGATTAGGGCTATAACTGCTTAAGTGGTTTTGGTGGAGTTTATCATAGAACGCCTCTCGTTTTCCATTATCGTTAGCTGCCGCCAATTAGAAACACCGATTGAATCTCCAGAGGAGGCTTTACTCTTCCTCTGCTACCACCAGCGTGATTCGCGCTATATACTTTCAGAGATGGTGCGTTTTTTTACTCGTACGACACGGCCGAGCCATCGGGACCCTGTAATTTAATCTGTTGCACTGTGTGTAAATCGCTCTGAGGCTCATCAATGGTAATGCTGACTCCTTCTTCGAAATTATAGCTGTCAACGGTGACGTGTGTGTCGCGACGCTTTACTGCCATCCTTAACCCTTTCGACCCGGAACTCTACTATCAATGGTAGCTTTCAATTTATGGGTCCAATATGTTATTTGCCCCACAAATACATGTTCTTCGGTGTCAAAGTGGGCGTGGCCTAAGGGGCTGATTCGGAGGGTGGTGGTAAACCATTGTACCATCCGGGATGTTAAGTGGTACATATCTGTACCAACCGTCCTCTAGGACATTCTTACAAATGTTTTATCTTTTTTAGAACCAAACAAAACGATTCATTAATTTTGCATTTGAATAATGCACAAATTTAGTAATAATAAACAGTCGAAGAATTAACAATAAATTGCTAAGGAATTCCTAAAATATAATGAAATGGTGCAAAACAGAATTTGCACAAAGGAACTTTGCACTCTTGGCAGATTATCTTTGTTCGAGTTTGCTTTTATGCAACGTTGTTCTGTGGTGCTTTGAATAGAAATATGTATCTGACTCACGACACGACGTGCTAGGCCGGGTGCTACTGACCTGCGTAAGGCTGTAGTTTTAGAACTTTGTTCTATCAGAGTTTCGGCCAAGGTCACCAAAAATGATTTGAAAGGCATTTTATTCCTCCTTAGCTAACTGTAAATAACCCACGCGCTTACGACTGCCATCACTATAAAACGGTAAAAGACCTTGTTCCACTATTTTTCTGATTTTCGATCATATTCGTGCAGGCCACTCATTTGATTTACTAAATCAACACCTCCCATAATTTGACGATAAAATAGTATTTAGTTTGGACATGGCACTTGCATTTTTTGCCTGTTTTCAAAGTTTATTCATAATTATTATGCCTGGTTCGTGGCAATTTCTTATTATGAAACC